AATCCTTAGTTGATTCAGTAAAGCCTATTAAGTTAATTAATGGTGAGCCAGGAGGCCTAGGGAACAGTTGGTCCCACACTTGGATCCATCCCTCCAACGCTTTGCGCCTGTTTCGTTGGCAATCGCTCGGGCGATCAACGTCTTGCCACTGCCTGCCCGCCGGTTTTTGGGTGAACTTCCAGGTTGGTCCAGCCATACCTCCAACTCGGTTCACTCGGATTGGATGCATCAGGGGGGAACCCACCCAGCCAGAGCTTTGTCCCGCACCTGGCGGCCCATAGAGCAGCACGCCACGAGGAGGTTTCACACCCAAAGTCTTGAACCTTAGAACGTCAAACAACAGTTGAAGGACGGAAGTCACCCATCTGTGAGCGTTTGTGTGCGTTTCTTCCTTGGAACATCTTGGAACCCTGGAGTCGAAAGGAGCGGCCTTTTCTGCATGTTCTCGACGGTGTCCGCCACGGCTGAACCGCTACGCGCAGTAAGACTTCATCCTTTTCAACGGTTCCCCTATTTGAGAGCTGCCCTGTTCGACATGCTCCCAATCGCGGGCGATTCTGGTGTGTGAACATGGTGAGGGCGCATTCACAAAACTGACGCCAGTTCAACAGAGCAGGACACAAGGGATGATCGACTCAAACCCACACTTGCCTTGGTGAGCGCGTTGCCCTGTTCGTCTGCATGCGATCTTCGCCCCAGTAGGATGTGCATATTCCAGCATACTTGAAAGAATGGGCGTTGTGACGTTCGCTCGTGCCACTGCTTGTTGACGTGTTTGTTGTCGCCCTGAGGTGTCGTCGTCCTGTGATGTGCGTGGTAGCGTAGGTCGGGTGGGGTGGTGTTGACCCGCTAAACAAGACCGAGCGAGAGAGAAGAAAATGAAAAAGAAACAACAGAGAGTACTGCCAGTACTGCAGCCTTTCAAAAGTTGAATAGATGCTTCCTCTGCTTTCGACTTGTTGACAGCTTTGATTCATACAGTCGTTGCGAGTTGGCCACCGGTAACATCGAAACTCACCGCACAAGAGCAAGGTAGCAAGGTGGGGTGTCGCAGGGGCAGCTCGATCATCTCCCGGATCTGCCCCATCGCCTTCCTCGCATCGGCGTGAAGACGGTGCCGTGACGGGGCTCCGTTGCACCCACCGGAGGTCTAACACCTGCTCTCGGGGGGTGAAAACATAACCTGAAGCACAACCCATGACCTGAACACCATGGTCCCATGCCATCGCAGGAGGCACTGGCCCTGTGAAGACCATTGGGACCCACCCGACGGTCTCCGGGGCTCAGCGGACGGACCCGGTTCCGCGGATGGACGCGACATCGCAGGAGCAAACTCTCGTGCAAGAACAGGTTCCCACCTCCACCCTGACCCTGCCCCCTACCTCACGCAACACCATAACTCCCACTCCCATCCTGCCTCCTCCAGAGGGAAGAAAAAAGGACTTCCCTCTCTCCCCTTTTCCCCCTTCTTTGTACCCCAAAAAACGGCAGCTCAGCGTCTTGCATCCGCCGATGTCGTCGTAGCCCACGTCGTCCAGGCGCTCCTCATCCTCGCGCTTCACCGGTTCGCCCTCGCAGTGGATCACCGTGTCCGGCGCCACGATCACGAACTCCCCGGGGTCCACGCCCACCACCTGACCGACTGGGCTTCGAAAGAGGTGTCACAGCTGGAGACAGAGCTGGAGACCTGCCAAGCTTGCATAAGCCCAGCCTTCGGTCAATTGGGCGATTCTGCATTTGTCTGCAGTCTAAGAAGCACATGGGGTCAGAGACCAAAATATTATGTGGAGATGTGAGTCCAAGCGCTTATCATAGACCTCGCCACTGGCAAACCGGTCATGGTAGGGATATATACGGCTACATTACTGTAGTAGTGTTGTGATGGGGCTACGCGGCTGCGACGCCTTTTGATCCACCCAACGCAGGACCAAACGCGCCCCACAAACATCCAGACTCCCGCCTTGAACTCCACTGGCCGAAACCCCCCGCGCACCAGGAACAAATCTCCCTGGCGTGCCGGGCGGTAGGCTTCCAGGTAGTAGGGCTTCAGGTAGGTGTCCTCGGGCGGCGACCAAAAAAAAGAAGGTGCTGCGTTTGCTCCCGCTCCCTGGCTCAGCCCTTGGTCGAAGGCCTGCTCGGACCGAGCGCTCCGGTGCACCCCGCAGGGCCGAAGAGGTGACCGAAGCACCCCCAGCCACAGCATCCGAGCGTCGAAGAGGTTCCCGGTGATGCCCTCGATGGTGTCGTCCAGCGGCAGCACGTGGATGCGCTTCCCGTAGGGCACGTCCCCACAGGCGTGCACGGACACGATGTCGCCCAGGCGCACGCGCAGGTTCTTTCGCACCACCTCGGTGCATGGAAACAAGGCCGGTTTTTGCTCAGCCGGTGTTGCTCACATCATCGATGGGTTTCTGTTGGTTCCGATGTGGCCTGGGCTTTGCAAGAAAAACCAGCTCGTGTCGATTCAACAAACCTTGTCCAAGTCAAACTGCCACTGTAGGAATCGGTGTCTGCAAGTTAGGAGTCCTCAAATGAGGGGCAAGATCGAGGCACGTTCACCCACAACAGCTGTGATCAACGCAGACCGTGCCCCGCTCATTCGCACATCCTCTTCGGTCTGTGGAGATCTGAGCATGAAAAGATTCCCCGTGAGGCATCTCCACGAGGCTTAACCGCCTAACATCTTGACCCTGTCGGCCCAGAAACCGATCAAAGGGCCAGTGCTATACCTGTGTGTGTTTGGTGCAAGTAGTTTCAACACCCCATACATGAGGGTCAGTGCTCCGGAGGGGGTCGCTGTTTCTCAAGTACACCAAAGGGGCTCCGGACATCAATAGAGCTCGCCTAGCAAGAATGCAAACGTCCGGCATTTCATCCACGCATCATGGTCTCTCAGGCACCTTGTTCATGCGGATCTTGCTGTCATCCAAGTTCTCATCTGCCAGGACGATGCAAACAGTGTCCTGCACAGCAGGAGCGGATCGCACGTTTCAAGCGAGCGATCGGCACCCCCAGCCATCTCCACGTGGAGCTCGCGTCGTGGTGCCCCAACAAACATCGAGTGGATCAAGTGCATTGCACCCCACATTGATGATGTGTTTCCTGGAGTTGCTCCATGCTCACACTCATTTGGTGCCAATCTCCTTCCGCTTCTTGCCCTTGATCAGCACGTTGTCTCCACGGAACAAATTCAGCTCCTCGCAGCAAGGCACAAGTATCCGTGGTGGGTTTAGTGGGTTTAGCTGCCGGCTGCTACCTAAAACAGTCTAGCTGTAGGACTGCTGATTCAACCAAATGGTGCACATCACATTCAATTCATGTGAACAACGAGCAAGAAGAATTTCAACAAACGGCTCTTGATCAACAAGGTGTCCGCCAAGCCTGAACTGTCCCAAACACATGGAAACCAGTCAAACGCACCGAATTTAATATGTTTAAATAAGTTTCAATGGTTTTAAGACAACTGTAATACTATATTTTGGATTTATAAATGTTAAATCAGTTGAATTTGCATCAAAATGTTCAAATGACATTCCTCGATATTTATATATCATATTAAATATTGGCTGTTGTCTTTTTACGATTAGTTTTATAAATGCACGAAAACGTGGTCGACAAGATGCAGGTGATCGTCCACCTTCAAAAAATTCAAACAGTTAAGTAGTGTGCATTTGCGTTCTCAAAAAGCACTCTAACCTGATTTTTCTGTTACAAATAATTGAGTGAAAAACAATTTAAATCTAAATCATTACATGTAAATAATGATATAGTTGTTATTCCTCGTTTTTCCAAACAATTTTCGTTAAAAAGAAATATATATATATATATATGTATATATAAATTGTAACTTATAAGAAAATTGAATTACAGTAATATAATGAAGGACATACTGTGATATGAACGTTCGTTTCCTGTCGCTTCTCTTCAAACATGTCTTCATCCGCCCTTACCTTTCCAAGCCCATTCTTTGTGGTAGATTCATCAAGTCGTAAATTGACACGGTTTCCGATATACACCTTTTAGTGCTGATCTACTTTTCTGCCCATTTGGGTCCATTTGGGATCACATTCTACATGAAGCCGTCTTCAGTGGCCTCCATCTTGGCCTGTGAGAGCGAGATCACCGAGTTATCATCGTTCATGGCTTCTTCCACCACTAACCGGTTCCTCGGGAAACCCGCTGGAAGACCAGGATGACGCGCATGGCCCGTGCGAAGCTGGAATTCTCGGCTTCAAAGGCGTGAAAGTGAACAAGTTCAGGAAACAGCTCCCATGAAAAAGGGGCCCCCCCGCTTGGGCAATTGACCACCCGGCTACCACGTCAAGCCGCCAAGGTTTCTTTCCTCATCTTCATCACAACCTCTACCAACCCACCCGCTTTCTGACCCGCCAACCCGACCGTGCAGTCTGGGCCACGGCGAGCGCTTCTTCTGCGGCTTCGCCTCCGGCACTGGCGCTGGCGCTGCAGCCTCATTGGCTTCAGCCATGACCTCGGCAGAGCGAGGAGCACAGAACACCGTGCAACGGGCAGTCTGCCCATCACTGAGAGGAATGCGACCCCCTGGCTGCGCTGGGGGTTGTGCCAAACCACCCAGGGGCCAAAAAAACACCGATGACGTCGCGGCAGCCGCGCGGACGGTCTGGTCTAACCCTCCGAGGTCCCCGGCGGTTCGCCGGTGTGTTCGCGGATTCGCGTCGGTTCGAATTGGTCTACTTTCGAGCCGGATCAAAACCAAACGTCACAAGCTCATCAGGCTAAAGAACTGGCAGACTGAGTGAACCTTCTTCAAAGCGCGCCGTGCGCCAAGCCGGACCCCCGTTCCCTGACACAAGTCGCCAAAACGCACAAACACCGGCTCTAGTCATCTCGAAGTCAAAAGGAATGAGTGTGCCCACTAGTATGCACACCTCATCTAAAACATCATGCTGTACAGCTTGTCTTTCTGAGGCCTGGATGCAACGAGCGGTTTTTATGGGAACATCGTCAGCCCCGCCGCCCTCCTCTAAGGCGTCGAGGAGTTCGTGGACAATGTCCACCTTCGACTGGTCAAAGCCACCAAGGAGTCCTGCGTCCCTGGCGCGGAGAGTAGCACCGCCGCGAAGAACAGCGCGGTGCCGCACAGTGCTTGCACGACGTGCCACGCACGACGTGCCGCGCTGCGCGTGCGAGAGTCGCTGGGGGGGTTAGGAAGATGAAGCCAAGTGACCATGGTTGGCTTCCATAGCGACATGATCAATGGTTGCAACATGTTGCAACATCAAAGCTTGTTTGGGAACTTGAGACCTTAAAAACTTAGAAGCCTACCAATCATGCCATTGAGGCACTAACCGGAGTAAACGATGCCGTGTTTGCAGCACCTTAGGCTGTCCAAACACCCCACAGCAGCCAAATAGCCTCAGATGAAAGCACTTGCAAATGACTCGCCAGTCCAAGCGGACCCAACGTCAACAATCATCCAGCGCATCCTGCGGCACTCGGTTGCGGCCCATTGCCAGCGTCAAATGCCGAGCGGCTCTGCACTCCAGCCCTTAGCACCGAGCGGCTGCCGGAGTGACCAGACCTCCCCCGTCCTAGCTGGGCCGTCTCTGGGAGCCGGAGGGTGGAAAAGTGAGACGAGAGGTGGGTCATGACCCGAACGGTTCGACTATCCCAGGTGACGGGTACCCCAGGTGACGGGTCCGTTCGTGACCTGGTCTTTCAACCAGCTTTGGTTGGTTTCAAAGGTTTCCCATGCGAAGAAGCCGCTGTTCCTGACCAACCAAACCCATGGTCCGCGAACCAAACACCGCATCGGTCGAGGTGCTGCGCTCCGGGGCTCTCTGGATCCAAAATCACTCGGAGCAACTCCTCAGACTTCGAGCCACGCGCGGACAAAGGCCGCTGGATCCGCGGATGGATTGTACTGAATTGTGGCACGGTGGGGTTGACACTCGTTGTGACTGTGGATCTGGAGGTGATGGGGATCATTTCGTCCTCTTACACTCAGCACCGGGATGCATCCAAGTGAGCCGCCACACACTAGTTGTTGACAGCGCGTTGAGCCGTCAACGCCTTTGACGCAACAGGCCATGCCCGCTGGACCACCCCTCTGGTCCAAGTGGCCGTAATCGCTGCGACATGGGAGGGCGCCGGCCGCATCAAGGCTGACACCTCAGAGGTTTGCACATGAAATCGATGCCGCAGTAGATCGAATCCTATTCTAGAAGTGTCTCGGAATCCCTTTCCGGCCAGTTGGGGTCTTCTGGAAATACACAGTCATAGACTCGTAGACTCATAGATGTGGAATGTTCTTGCGGCCTTTCACGCTCACTTACGCTCACCATGCCCGTCAAAAAACTGAAGGACCTGTGCCAACAATGGTTGAAACTGGTTGAAACTGGCACTTCCCCCGTGAGAAGTCCGATTCGAAAGACCACCAACCCACACACCCCCCCCCTTCCTGCTTGGCCCCCCCCCCCAACCCCCGAGTCGGACCCCTCAAGGAGTCGGAACCTGGTTCCCCGCCCCGGGTCCTCTCGGTCCGAGGAGCCCCCTCTTCGCGCTGCAGGTTGGTGTCTCGGCCCAGCCTCGGAAACCGAGGTCCGAGGCTCTCCCGGCGGTCCCTTCGTTCGGGTCCGCTCCGCCGGTATCCCGTTCCGAGCGGCGACGGCGAGAGGTGCCGGAACCCAGGTGACAGAAAGCAACAACTCAGCAGGAGGTCCCTCTCAATTTCACGAACTCCTAGCCTCGTGGGGCCTCGTGTATGGTAATGTCCGCGCCCCTTATCATAAGCGGCCCACACAGGAGGACCAACAGTAACAGGACTTGTCCACCAACCGCTCCCAATCCCGTGATCTCGAAAGGCTCGACAGTCCTCTCCGGGTGGTGGGGCCTGGATGCGAAGTGCTGCGTCTGCTGGATGGCATCTTTGATCCGCGGATCACGAGTGATGGCCCGCCCGATCACCGCCACCACCTCCTGCAGATTCCGCCGCAAAAAGGAGAGTCAGAGGTGGAGTCACGGCATCGCTACAGAATCAAAAAAAAAAAGTGAATTCACGGGCGAAGTCTACTGTCCTATAGACAAAAGGTGAGTCCTGCCCCCGGGCAACCGATGTGGTGTACAAAGAAAAAGTGAAAGACTCCTACTGCAAGGGCTGCCAAAGAGATCGACGTGATGTCGTTTGCAAAAGCCGAGAGCTTCAAAAAAAATAGAACCCCATTCTTCAGCCCGTTTCACCCCCCACCATCACGCAAGCGAGGGGACATGAGAGGAACCATGAAGACGAAACACCTGATGAGATCGATCCGATTGCCCCTGCATCCCCCGTCCTGGTGCAGCTGCATCAGCGAAATCCCCGCAGGGCTCCTCACCGCGCGGAGCCGTTCGTGGCCTTCCTGGCGGTGCTGGGTCCGTCGATCGGTCCGGTACTGCTGGGTGTCCATATCGGGGGGAAGAAGATGGAAGAACCAGCAGTCACCAAGGGTTGATGTTTTTAGTCTTTAAGTGGAAAATGGGCACCCCTAACCTCCATGGATAGCACCCCGTCTTGTGACTGCTGGAAGATGGAAGTGAACGGAGACCGTCCGTGCACAGCAAGCTGGATCACCCTGTGGTGCTTCTCCTCCTCTTCACCCGCTTTTGGGCTCTTCTCCCCCCAGGTCCTCCGACATGAAGCCCTTCAAGCCCAAGGCGATCTCCGGCGCCGCCGGCAAGGCACCCAGCTTCAGCACGTTGATGCACTCCGAGGCCACAGCCAACATCCTGGTGAGGCCAGGGACGTTTCAAGCAGCCAAATGCCGAGCTTTTGTTCCCCTTTGGGCGAGATCTGATCCACCAAATGTCTCTCGAGTAGCATGATTCCAAGGAACCCAGCGAGCGGCTCCAGATCAGATCGCGACTGTGGTCTCACGTCTGTTTTCAGGGGACTCGTCCAAAACCGCGCTTTTGGTCGGTGTTGCGCATGCTAATCAACTATATAATCATCACACTGCAAAAGCTTTGCCAGCATAGAATCCCCAAAGGCGGCACACTGGTGGGGATGCCTACTCACTGCAAGAAGTAAAACACTCACCATCGTCCGAGCGTCGTGTGGTTGGACTCCTTCACCAGCACCTCCGCCATCCTGCGATGCGCAGTCGCGCAGTCCAACAAGGCATGCATGGACGCCGTGCCAAACATGGGTTGATGGCCTTGAAAGCTGAAGACCAGCATGGGAGTGTATTTGGGTCGCAACATGCAAACGAAGGTGCCTAAAGTCAACTAGGCACCCACGGATGTAAGAAATCATGCGCTTCTGGGAGGTGCCTGCCCAACCTGGGTAGGAGGCAGACCTGCCCACAGCAACCATCACCAACCGACCTGCGCCGTTCCCAGTTTTCTCGTCCCGTCCCGTGCAGATTCAGCACTGCAGGAGCCGCATGGCCCAGGACCCAGCAGGCGGCGCATCGGACCTTCGGGTCCTGGGGACGCGACAGACATCGGTCGAAGACGGTCGATCCACTGGAGGAGGATGGGGATGAGGACGCTGTGGTTCCATGTGGTGATGACCTCCTGGTGTTGACGATTGGCGCCTTGGAACCCGTTGGTGGTTTACCACGTGTTGTTCACCTGGCTCCACGTGTCTCCACATGGCTCAGGAGCCTCCACATGTCGTACGCCAGGAGCAGTGGATGTGGGTCCTCGTGCTTCAAGCGTGTGACAAAGAGCTCCACATTTTGGGGTACCACCACCTGGCTCCAGCGACGACGACGCAGCACGACGCAGCGTGTCTTCGACGGAGTCCTTTGGCTCCTTGCGACCGATGACGACACAACTGGTGAATCCGGGGCTGTTGAGCCAAAACCTCTGGGCAAAAATGCGGAACTCCATATGTTGGTATCGCTCATCTTGTGACCAGACCCTTTTGGCTTTTCGTGAGTGTAGCGGCGTATGCTGTACCAGCCAACCCTGCTTCGCCTGCAGGTCGGCCGCCGCTAGACCAGCTCCTTCCGGTCAGTGTGTAGTGTAGGGTAAGCGCTGCGGAGGGGTGATGGAAAGGGATGACAGGTGTGGGCCGTGGGTTGTGAGACCAATGCTGTGACGTCTCGCCACCATTCAAGAGAGAACTGCCCTCATGGCCCACGCCCGCCCCACGCGCACACCAAGCTCAGCGGCCCACCCAGCGTCCTAGCATCCGTTCCTGAGCGCTTTCGACCCACATGTGCCGCAGGATGCGTGCCACACGGTGCCTTTCTTCCGATGCCCTGGTGTGATTTAAACTGGTAGGGCAACCCAGCTGCTCCAACGAGCGCCGACTTCCCTCGTAAGAAGGGGAGAGGAAAAAAACGTTTCAGGACTCGTCGCGATTCGAAGAGTCTCTTTGCAGCTTTCTCCCTCGACTCCGGAACATGCGCCCATCGCATCGCGTCGCATTCCCGAGGCTCCAGGGTCTTCTTGGCGGAATCCCGGCACACCGCGCTGTCGTCCATCAGCATGCGCGCGATATCCTACCATGGTCTCAGCAAGAGCATCTTGGGAGTCAAACTGGTCTCTGGGTGACAATATCGCAAAATATCGCAAACACTCCCGACACTCCCTGAAGTAATCAATCATAGAAGTGGATGGTACCACCTGGTTTGTGGAGGATTTCATGGCATCCAGCAGGCATGATTATTTCAGGGTGCGCAAGACAAAACAATAGGCACCCTAGAGTTATTGAACGAACTTACTAACTAACTATGCGGCCATGTTTTCTTTCAGGCTTTTTGCACTATCAGTGTCCATCCTTCATGACCGATCTTCATGACCAGTTACGGTCGCTTGACCAACACCGTTCAAAACTCTCAACCCAACTTCTGGCATCAATCTTTCAGAAAAACTGGCGACTGCTGGCTCCATCACTTTTGACCTCCAGCGTGCATCCGCCCCGCCCCGCACCGCGGTCCTTCGCGCAGCTCAAGCCGCCCACACTCAACCGGCCCAGTGCACGCACGGTGGCATCCCGGACCTGCCAGTCCTCCGGCAGGTGGGGTGACAGGTGGCAAGTTGCAAGCAACGCTGCTCAAAACAAGGGATTCGGACATGCTTAGACTATCTTAGATTGAAAAGTCTTGAGTCAACCCCAACCCCACTCGAAGACCGGCTTGTCCTATGTCTTGGATGCTCTATCACTGCTGTCTTTGCATCCAGGCCCTTCCAAAATTTTGACTCGGCTCCTCATCGTGCAAGCGGGCCTCAAGAACCACAAGGCAAAGGAGATCTAGTCAAAATTCCCCCCAATGGCTCAAAAGATATGGAAGGATGAAAACATCTGCTCAAACTCTCCTCAGTATCATGATCATTGACCACTGCCCCTTGGAATTCACAAAAAATAAAAGTCTGCCCGAGCACCTTCAAAGACGGCAAGGCTGCTTGGCCGGCCACCACCACATCACCCACCTCAGATTGCTGAGGATACTCATGGTCCGTCCGTCCAAAAATGGGCTGAGATGCTCCAAGACTCAAGACCTAAGAATAAGACTTGACTGCCTGGGAGCCCTCAAGCTGGCTTCTTCCAAAATCACCATCAAAGCCCAAGGTCACAACTAGGACGCATAAGTCCGTAGGGACGACCACAACATTTTATATAAGTCAGCGACAACTAGACCGTCCGGAGGCAGTCCAAAAAAGCCGCCAAGTGCCCCGACGATCGCCTTCTTCTGCAAGGCATCGAGGGGTTCCTGCGCAACCTGGAAGGGACGATTGGGAGAAAACACGCAGAAGGCATGCAGGACAGTCACGGAAAGTCAAGGGTAGTCATGGGTCTGTTTTGTGGAGGCCTGCTGGGCGTCTTACCTCAAGAAACTGGCCCTTTCCCTGCTTCGGATGCATCTCTCTTTGGCGTCTGTCTCGTGGCGCTTGAGCACGCCTTGCGCACCAGGGGATCCGCGTCCGCCAGGTGGAACGTCCTCGGGCAGTGGAGGAAGCTTCTCAGGGTCCAAGAAATGCCTTTAGCGTCAGGAGTGGCTTCTGGTTGACAGGCCAGGAGTCCATCAAGCGCCTGAACCATGAACCGTTTAGATGTTGCGGGTCATCACGACTGCTCACCTCAACTCGCCTGAGCTTCTCCTCCCACCCAGGCAGAGTCAACTGGCCTGAGCTTCCCTCTAACCCCCGGTCCCAGGCACAGCTCCGAAACCGCCTGCGCCGCGAAGCTGGCGGGCTTCTTCCCCCAGACCTGGAAGAAGGAAGGTGCCGAGCACGCGGACGCACCCACCCAGTGATGAAGAAGCATGGCATCGGTCAAAGCCCATTTGGATTTCATCTGGATGGTGTCGGTTTGAGTAGAATTTGGATTTCATCTGGATTTCATTTGGATTTCATCTACATTGATTGTAGAACTGCATCTGGAGGGTTTGAGTAGAAGCCTTTTTTTGGCGTGCACAACAAGCTACACACTGCTAGCTAGGTGAACCATTGCAAATGCCATCTTATCAGCTGCAACACCGCTTGAAAGAAACCCATCATAGCTATAATATTCTACAATTATAGTCGTACAAAGTGTACACCCCTCCAACATGAAAGGACAAACGCACACGCATTCCCTTCACCAAATCTTTACCATCTCGATCTACAGTAAAATACGTGGGTGCATGCAATCAAACTCTTGCCTTGCCTCTGGCAAACACATCCCTGCGAGGGTCTGCGCACCTCAATCTGGGTGCGTCACGGCTCAAGGTTTGCCATCGGCCGTTGCACTATTTCCTACCCATGCCCAATCTATTGCCCAGATGCATGGCCCATTGCCGAGCTGCATCAGTTTCCAGCCGTTGTGGGTACACAGGTGCGCAAGACACACATTCAGTCGTTGTGGCTTGTTCTTTAGGTCATTAATGCGGAAAGGCACCGGCAGTGACAGTCAGTCCTATATATCCAACCTGCTCAGAACCCCATAACTGCCATAACTGTTTGCAAATCTGAAAGCTCTGTGATCGCCAACCTACCAACCCCCCGTGTCCTTGTCAGCCAGACGTTCGCAAAAGTCTCCCAACCCCGCCGTTCCATCTCCGCTGACCCGCCCACCCGCGTCGAGACGGGCACCTGCACGTCGCACCCGCAAGTTGCCATCGCTCAGTGTGGCACGCAGGCGGTTGAAGACCTCCAGAGGTGCAACTCGCGCCCCAGAAGTTCAACACACACCCAGTAGGAAACCCAACTGCCAAAAACATTGGGAGGCGCCAGCCACTCTCAACAGCCTGTTCCTCTTCACTAGCCAGTGGCCAACCGGAAGCACTTGCACATTCGTCCAAAAAAAATAAAAAATGATGCCTCTATGAGACCGGCACATCTGCGCGGATTTGGCTCCAGGCTTGCCGGTGGCGCGACGCCAGTTGAGTGCCCGGCCAGTTTCCCCGCGTCCTCATCGAGGCACATGAACTGCTCCAAGGCATCCTGGCCCCACCCCCGAGCCCCCCCCCAGAACACGCAGAGAAATGGGATCCGACTCATCGCGAGAGTCGCTCCACTCCGCGCGTCGGCCCTGGCCTTGCGTCTCCGCCAGTGATCATCCGTCAAGCACCTGAGAAGGCAAATGGCATGTCTTCCCCACTTCTGCTGGATCTTTTGTCTGGCTCGCTAGAGTGAGCTGACGGACTCTTGTGTCAAGTCAATAGCAGTGCCGAAGTGAACCAGTTGGTTTGTCACGCTCATCCTTCTTCCAGCCTCCCTCAGCAAATCAAAGATTTTACCTTTTCAGCCGAGGCACACTGCCAACTCAGGCGCCGTGGAAGGCATACCGTTGATTGGACATGGCTGGGCACGTGTTGGATGGGTGAAACATCACGCAACGATGCGAGACGTGCGAACCTCGAGTGGCAAACTCAGCTGGAGACCCCGTCTTGAGTCATCTGTGTGTGTGTGCGCGTGTCGACTTTGAGCTGAAAGAAGAAGCATGCAGGGAAAAAACATGTTTCATCGCCTTCCGGAGCCACTATTTCTGAACTACGGACTTGAAGCGTCCATACTAAGCTCTTGAGCCACGGATTTCACCAAAAATGCTCACACAGTCCCCGAAAACACTCTTCATTCCGTTCTCCCCAATGTATGATACTGCATGACTATGAAAACAAAAACGGCCTTGCAACACTGCAAAGCTCTAAACACTAGCGAAATGCCAGCGCCAAAAAAGAAGCTTTCCAAGTATGACGAACACAACATGATGTTCCCTGGGGGTTCGTGTGGGCCGTTCATGGTATCCCCCTCTCCGAGCGCATGCCAGGGGCCGTTCATGTTTTCCGCCACGGAACGGTGCGCGGCGCGTTCCGGCACCCCCCACGCTGACGCTGAACAGGTCTGTCCTGAACAGGTCTGGATCAGGTCTGGTGCCACAGCTCCATTTGGTGGCCCACGTCCACACGTCGCCGCGGCGCCGAGGTCGCGCCCTTCGGACGTGTGATTCGTCATGCCCCCCCCCCGAAGCGCCTCCCTTCTTGGCCGCGCAGCTGACGCCTGTCTGAACAAAAAGTGGTCCAATACCATTCCACTGGCCTGTCCGGAGAGCTATGACAGGCTGAGGCGAAATAGACGTATCGAGCTCCGAGTTCCACGCGCCCCGCCAGGATCATCATGGCTACCATCTTCGTTCAACTGCACCTCGGCCGCGACAAAGAGTTCCCGAGCGATGTCAATTTCGAGCACCTCCAGGGAGCAGGCGCTGCATGCATCGAAGAATGCGTCAAGACTGCTTCCAACATCTCCATTCTCGCAAGCCATGCGGTCACAGAGTGCAAAGAACACGGGAACCGGTTTCCCACGCGGCCGTGTCAACAACGCAACAACAGTTCGGCATAAAGCCTCGCAGTTGTAATATCGTGGGTATACGATATCGGAACCCAAGATCATATCCAAGTGGTCTGGAACCTCTGACGGTATTTCGGTCTGCTCCTCCCAATCCCACTTCACACAAGTCACATTTCCAAGTCCACTCTTCTCAACGTTGTGTTGGAGGTTCACGAAGCCCTGCTCAGCACCCTCAACGGCCACCACCTTATCCACGTGCTCTGCCAAGCACAGGGCTAAAAAACCCGTCCCGGCCCCCCAGTTCCAAGATCTGTCCTCCCCCCGTGGGCACAAGTTCATTCGAGGTGAGCCACTTGAAAAGGACCCGGGCCGCCGGCCACACCATGCAACACGGATCGTCATCGAACTCACGAACTTCCATGAACTGAATCTTCCCAGGATTGAAAGAATGGCATGCGCTGCACGACACCGTGGTGTTTTTCCGCTGAGAAAACACCGGCGATGTCCCAACGACGAGTGGCTACTTGTTCAGACTCCTTGAGCCGAGGGTGGCGTCACACAAACTGCACTGGCCCCAAGCAGGACAAAAAAATAGGTAGATACCTGGAACCTGAATGACTTTTATTTTGGACCATCAACCAATCAAAATACAGTCTTTTCCTATCAAAACAGAGGTCATGGGTTCTAGTCTAGGTATATATAATTCGCCAGAGTTTCGTCGTTGGATTAGTTTTTGTCCTGCAGCGAATTTTTCAGGGAGTGGCATCTCAATCACACCAACCTTAGGTACATGCCAGGCAACCTAAGCAACCCAACACACCCGAGAGAGCTGGAAACACCGCAAAACAGGCGAGCCAAACAATCCAACACCCAAAACAACTGCAAACAACCGGCAGCCGGACCCTGCAAAACAGGACCAAACACAGCCGGAGACAGATAGAGGAAACTCTACGACCAACAAGGGCAAAACGGCCCACGGATCAATAGCGGCCTCAGCAAACTACCAAAACTTGAGAGCAGGAGGGCACCAACAGTAAGAAACTCAACAGGGTGACAAAAAATTTGATGAAAATGATCACTTTGACATACTTTGACCGCAAGGGCCACCCACACCCCTCGCCACTGAGGAGAGAAATCGTGATGGTGACGACTCCCCAAGGACAAACAAGTAGTTGTTTCCATTCTTCCACAAAAGTGTTTGCGTGCCACGAAGCTTGACACCGCGATGTAGAATGTGGTTACTGGCACTCACACTCCAAATGTTTACAAACAAAAGCAACCTCACCAAACCAACTGCATCCCTTTTCATTTTCAAGTCCTAGCACGCGACCGAGCACAATAACCTGGAACTTGGTCCGGTGCTTCTGAACTGCCCAGGGACTTGGGACCGCTGATGTGCTCCCGCATGTATATCATGGCTGAAGGCCACGAGGCCTCAGCCATTGATTGAAGTGCAACAATAACATGCCGACAATACTGGTGCTACAGTGGCCTAGAGTCACTTAATCGTGGCACGTGTTTGGTACCTAGTGGCAAACGATATGGTAGAGTACTTGACGCACAAGATGGGCCAAGGTTGGAAGGCCGCTACCAACATCAAATTGGACTGTTTGTCGTTGTCATTCGGTCAAGGGCCACGTTTGCAAGGTCCGCTTGTTTTTTTGTTTGCCAGACTTATAGTAAATCGGAAACCTGGTCGCATAAATATCCATATGGTTGTATTGAAACAAGTGTAACAAGTAACAAGTGGCCTTTCAATGTGCCATCGGCACATCACCATATGGAATGGTGTGTGTGACCACAAAGAGCCGGCAAATGCGCAAGCATGGCATCGCTGCTCCGTCGTCTCCGTTTCCCTCTTGTTCGTGGTCCGTCCGTCAGTGCCGTTGCGCCGTCTAGGGACCACCGGGCGTGACCTGGCTGTGCTACATCGGGAGCTTTGAAAAGCAAGGCCGGACCGCAAAGAGCACCGGCGTGGGTGTGTCGAGGCCGGCACCCGAGTGACTACCAACGTCCTGGTCTCTGACTGAAATTTGGAACCGCCGTCTCGACCAACAGCGGATTGAGGTGATCGCCCACGCTTTACCGTTGCACAACGGAGCACAGCTAGCAATCGACACCACCATGATCTCCCCTTCGAACGGTGCGGGGCAACCTCGCCCCCAAGGACACTACCCAGAACTAGGGGTTCGGATCTAATTTAAGATTTGTTGTTTTTCTATGATTTCCGTTTTTCGTGGCAAGTGCAACACTTTGTGGACCTTGATGCGCACATTTCGTGGCAGGCACAGCACTTTGCGGTCCTTGAACTGCAAATTTTGTGGCAGGCGAAATACTTTGGGTACGTACGTTGCAGTGCAGAATTCGTGGCAGGCGCGTTACTTTGTAGACCGTGAAGTGAAGAAGATTTCCGGTAAGCGCAGTACTTTGTGGATCTTGACGTGCAAATTTCGTGGCAGGCGAAGCACTTTGTGCACCTGGAAACGCAAAGAGAAAGAGGGAGAGAGAGAGAGAGCGAGAGATAGAGAGAGAGATAGTGAAACATTGATAGTTATATACAGAGATAAATACATAGACACATAGATAGATAGATAGATAGATAAATAAATAGATAGATTGATTGATTGATTGGTTGATTGATTGATTGGTTGACTGCTAGCTTGCTAGCTAGAGCTACATAGCTACATAGCTAGATAACTAGATAGCTAAATAGATAGATGGGTGGACAGACAGACGCATAGGTAGACAAATATTTGGACCAATGGGTAGCACAGTGTTGGAAAAAACTATGTTGAAGGCTGGGTGTGGTTGAAGTGGCCCTCACCCTCCACAACTGTGCGGTTTTGCAGGTCCTGTGTCATTTAAACATGTTCATGTTAACCAAAGTTAAACAGCTAAAGCCTTGTCCCAGCTAAGCGAAGGTGGGCCGTATCATCAACCCTTTTTGCGTTATCAATTCAATGAAGATACCGGTTTTGGTATTTAGTTGTCCCGTAACAATCGCTTGAGTTAAAATGCGGGAGGCGCGTGGGGGAGGGCGCAGCACCTCCCGCGCAACGAAAACAAAGTATTGTCAGCATCCCAACACTGAGGTCTGGACCGTCGGACCGGCAATTTCCTCATCTAAATTCTCCCTCCGGGTAGCTCACAAAAGGTTCGCACCTGCCTCCGCCAAATTTTACCCTCGTGTGGCTAAATAAAGCTATGCGCCGTTGAAATGGAAACTGCGCCCTTTAAATTCCACCACCTGGTGGCGCACACAAGGTATGCTGACAGTTTCCTCCTCTAGATTGGGCACCGTAACAAGGTGCAGGTTGGCCATTTCATCCAGCTTTGTGGCGTTGTCACAGCTAAGCGAAGGTGGGCCTTATCATCCACCGTTGTGGTTTTGCCAATGCAAAAACTCCCTCACAATGAAAAACAAAATATAGTCAGCAACCCGGCAATGAAAGCAACCGCCTGAATGAAAAGGTGCGCACCGTTGGACTAGCACTTTCCTCATCTACTCCAAATTTTGCCTCCGGCTGCACACGGTTTGCACCTTCCTCCTCTAAGTTTGAAAACCTCAAAAGCCACAAGCCCTCGCCCTTGCTTCCTTCCTGCCTTCCTTCCCTCTTTCTTTTCTTCGCATGGCTGGAAAGCCACGAAAGCCAAAAGCCAAATGCCACAGAATCCAAAAGCCACGCAACACGCGAAAGAAAACCAAAAACCATACACAACCCAGAAGCCACGAAAGCCACGAAAGTATTAGATGAGGACACGCCAGGACTCAGCACACTCCTTGAGCAGCACCCCCGGCCTCCCCTCTGTACTCGTCGACCTTGAGGGGGCCCCCCAGATTTGCCCATCCTATCACCAACCCTTTATGACTTCTCGCACATCCAGTGGCCCCCGATATACAAATGCCTTGCACATCCGGGAGCCGTCGGTATAAAATAGTTTTTCACCCGGACTCGCTGCGGAAAAAGGTGCGTAAAAAAATCCCTGGAACGGGT